TGAAGCTCGAGGAGTTCCTCCTCAGATGGGTCACCATGGTAATAGACAACGGGTGCCTCCCAATCCAGGCTTTGCTCGTCCGCAAGTTCCTGAAGAGTCGCAAGGTAAGACGGTGCAAGGATCCCATGATTCTCTAGGGGGTTGCCGAGCTGTTTCGGTATACGGCGCCTCCTACCAGATCCCGCTGAAGTGACAGAGTCATCTGACGGGGGGTTGTAGACCGGAATAGGTGCAGGATCATGAGCAGCTTCCATAACAGGGGCTCCTTGCACATCCGACGCCGTAGCCCACCGGAAATAGTTGCAGCGGCCCGTTGGCGAGTTGATGTTCATCCTCTCGCACTATTGTATCAGTATCAGCATCAGCATCAGCAACAAGGAAGCAGGGTAGAGCCCCCTTACCTTCGCATACAATTTTCCGTAGTTGCCGTTCTTCTTGGATTTAACAGGCTTGATTATAGCTGGTTGTCCACAGTCTGTACAGATATGCATATATACAGCGGCAAGTAATATACAATGATGTGTCGCATGTAGTGGAAGTATCGCCTAAGGGTAATGGGGTAGAAAGAAGTAGGGGGGAGGAAAAGAGACGAAAGAAAGAGAGAGCACAGTCCCAACTGGAATGACAGCGGATGTGAAGAGTGAACCCATGTCGTAGCCACTGCATCATCAGCCACCATGGACGGCTTGGACAGTCCGGCTGACCTGGACGTCCCGGATTCTCGAACTCTCAGATTTCCTGACTTTTGGATAGGAGCTGAAATTCAAGGGTACCTGCTAGTTTACTTGTACTGTGGATAAGACTCTCTCTGGTGCTTCTATGAGCTATGTACTGGTTTTCGGAGAAACTCTTGACTTGTGAATTTTCAGGGTAGCTGGAATGGGCTGCTGAGCTGAGTGAGGACTGGGAGGGGTAGAATGGATATTTGGGCAGGATATGGGAGGATTTCGACAGTAAGAGGAGATCTGGGTGCTGGACAGTGTCTCATTCTTGGTGTGGTGACATTCTGCACTGTCCTCTGAATCTTGTGCTCTATCATGCCATCCCATAAATTGATCAATGTGTTGATATATATTTGTGGTGTATAAAGCAATATGCTGTGGAGCCTGACATCAGAGATCCAAACCACTGAAAGCTCATGCTAGTCTATCCTCTTTACCTATCTTGCGTGCATCAGGTCACACATAAATAGGTAGTATATCATGTAATATTCTTTGAAACTTATATATAGATCACCAGGAAAATACTATGAGATGATTTGGAGATGGAAACACACCAACACATCAGGCCCATGATGAGCCATAACATAGCAGTACATACAACATATGCCATGAAATACCCAGATCTCCTCACACTGTCAAAATCCTCCCATACCCTGCCCAAATATCCATTCTACCCCTCCCAGTCCTCATTCAGCCCAGCAGCCCATTCCAGCTACCCTGAAAATTCACAAGTCAAGAGTTTCCCCAGAAACCAGTACATACACTGGGCTCAAAAAGTATTCAAAAGCCTGGGTCATGTGGCAGTACCTCGGGAATGATGGACCTTGATCCAATTCCATCTCATGCTCTAGACTATTATAGGCTACCTGAAATTGTATATGGTGATAAGCCTCAGGATCGTCTGACCCCGAAAACGTGGATTCAGCACATACAAGCCCCCCGGAGCTTATTCGACACAGCGCTCACACACCTCTAGGCTTCTATGGGCTCTAAAAGAATTTTTCTGTTTAGCTCCAGACTTCCTAGCATCCCCAAGACGTACACGGACCCATTCCACGATTTATCTCCGCAAACGCAAGCTCCGGGTGACTTAATCTATGCGACTTCTAGGTGAATTAGCTCTGGGGCCCGCGGACACTTCCATCGAGGGGTGTCGTCCTCATTCCCACCCTCCAGCATACTCCCTCTCTCGTTTCCATCAAAATACCGAAGGTGCGGACGCATACGAGTCACCATGAGGCCACCATCAGTAAGCGAGCGGCCGGAGGTAATTAGCACGTGACCAGTGCATTGGGCGGAGTGATGGGACCGCTTAGGGCAGGTGGCGGAACGTCGAGGCGACCTCTAGGGGCTGGGACAAGCAAGTGGGAGTGCAAGAGAGTCATATGGTGTATGGTATAATGGCGGCAAGTGCTGAGCAATCCTGTGGGTAGTGGCTGTTATTTGTTATTTATGTCCGGACGGTCGCAAAGCCATTCCTGTTGTACAAATTGTACAAAGTAGCATACAGCAAAACAAGTTCCGACTTCACCATCGCGGAGAATTAGCGTTACAATCTCAGTGACCCTTGAAGTTCGAAAGCGTCAAACTTAGCGAATTATAACCGATCCTAGCTTTGCCAATAGGCCTGACTCATCAAGTGAATTATCTCCACCATTGATTTAATTAGCTCCGGTGAGTCTCACATAGCGAAATAAAATTAAACAAGTCTTTTTAGCGTTTTCTACTCCCGTGGGCCCGAACCTACACTCGGTTCCGTGGTTTGCAACTTTGTTTGCGACTTTTTGGAGATAAATACTCCAGAGTGTCCATTAGTGTTTGTTTCAGGCGTCAAGGTTTTTGTTTTATTTTTCTAGGTCTTCCTACGGACTACCCTACGGTGTCTTACTCCTCCTTTCCCCCTTGAACTATTAAAATAACCCTCAGTTGTCTCGGACCGCCTTCACCCATATCACAGGGTTTAGGTTTATTTCTTTTGGTCCTTGGAGATTGTTGTGTGTCAGTGCATATCAACGGAAAATTGAGCCCACTGCAAAGGATAGGAGGTGGGTACAGCAAGTTTTTTCATAAAGGATAATGGTCCCAACCACTACCAAACTAAAGGGTCAACAGTATACACAACCAAGAACAGGCCAAAATTTCGCAAAAAATTAGTATTCAGTATTCCCTCCCTTTGTCTGTCTTACTGCTGCCACCCTGTCTGGTAAATTGTCATACAACCTCTGCAAAAACTCCTTTCCAATCCCATACCACTCCTCCTGTCTCCAGCTGGGGGGTAATCCCATACATGCTCTATGATGTTCAGGTCAGGGGATTGTGCTGGCCATGGCAGGATATGGAGGCCACTTTGCACCAACCAGACCCGAGCAACTTTCGGACAATGCTTTGCTCTTGCTGGAAGAAGTAGTCTTGAGGCATCATCCTATAATTGTGTAAGGTCCCAAGAAGATGATTGTTGAGAATTTGAACATAGCTGAGGCCTGTCAATGTTCCCGTAATCCAATGAAGTCTGCTGACACCCTTGGATGTGATGCATCCCCAAACCATCAGCTGCCCTCCACCAAACTGCCTTGTCTTCTGGGTATACCTGTCCTGTACAGCATCTCCCTGCCTCCGCCAACATATCTCCCTACCATCCGGGCCAACCATGCTGATCTTTGACTCATAAGAGAATATGACCCTTCGCCACTTCTCCCAAGTCCAACTCCTTGCTGCCACTGCCCAAACCTGCTGTGCCTGCTTATGCCTCTCTGTCAGATAGGGGACCTCCCTCTGCACTGCTGAGATGAACCCTTCCTCCCGAAGTCCTGCCTGAACAGTGTTGGTGCAAACATGTTTGAAGTACTGGTCCTGGAGCTGCTTGATGCACCCTTGATCCAGCTGGAGGACAGTGAAACGGCAATCAGACATCCTGAGAGCCCTCGGGTGGCCTGGTTTGGGCCTTTGGGTAACAGGATCCAGTTCACTCAAACAGCTTGATTATGTAGGAAATTGTCAAATATGACCTTTCAAAGCCTTTCACAATGTTGGACAGTTTTGCACCAGCGTGCCAAGACCCGATGATACGACCACATGTAGAAGGGCTTGTATAAGTCATGGGTAGGCAATTGACAAAGTAGAGTCGTGATACAGTGAGTTGTTGTTGGGATATGCTTTGAGTAAATGTCCAGTCACATCGAGCAACCTTGCTCACATGATTGCGATGGCGTGCCAACAAGCCCACCAGTGGACATGGTGTGTTTGGTGTTAGCAAGGGGGGTTATTGGACAGTATATACATAGTGTAAGTACATTAAATTATTAGGTGGTTACAAGGTTATGAAGAGCTTTTTGATCAATTTAAAAGTTTTCAAATAGTTTTTGAGCCCAGTGTAGCTCACAGAAACAGCAGAGAGAGTCTTATCCACAGTGCAAGTACACTAGCAGATACCCTTGAATTTCAGCTCCTAGATGCAAGTTGAATCACGCCAAACAATGCAGCCACAGTTGAGATAAAATTTGAAGATGCTCAGACGCATCTGAGAAGCACCAAATTGCACATGGTGGTCACATGACAAATTTTCTGAAAATAGCAATAATAAGCAGTATGGCATTTGACTTCCAGTTCTGGACAGCATTGAAGTTTCAGTTGCAATTGGCTGTTGTTGGCCTTTTGATGAATTTGCACTCAGGACACCTAATTTGCCACTGTGATTTTTGTCCTGTTTTGCCGATGTATACTCATGTCCAGTAGAAAATTGACAGTTACCTTACATTTGGCATGCCAATAAGTATTACACTTATATTAACACTATTGAGTACTATGATTCAAGTGCACCTTCCTCTGGGAAGGACACTGCATACTTTACTCAGTAACATAATGCATTACATTAATTATACTTTAGAGAAATGAGTGCATTGCATTTGGAACTTTTACCACAACACACACCTGTACAACCAGTGATGCAGGCCATGGTGTTGACTTCCCTGAACTGTCGATATAAAGCTGTTCCTTCATATCATCCACAGTCTGGGTGAATCTACAATATACATGAGTGGAGACTCCAGGGGGTGAGAGCAGAACACTGTACTTGTTCAAGTGTCCCGAAGTTCCAGGTGCTCGAGTCAATCCCGGTAGAGAGAATATTGAGCGCAGAACCTGTACTGTAGTCTGGATCGGATGTAGTGCGTGAGTAAGCCACATATACAGAAATCAGAGCATAATCACCTTCTCGAAGAATGCAGTATACAACAACCTGGTGCAGGTGTAAGAAAAACAGTCTGGCGAGCATAGGACATGGATACATACCCATGGAATGGCTCATGAGAGATCCTGAGGCCAAGGTTCTCTGTGGTCACAGTCAGGGAGAGCCAGATGTCTGACCACGAGCCACTCACCTAATGCGTCGTTGATGCGCTGAACATATTCCGCACGCGAACTTGCAGCCTCGTTCTTTGCGAGCTGCACGAGGTTCGCATCCGCTTCACCACTGGTGCTGTCAAGATAGAAGTCGACTACCAGGGAGAGAGCCTTCGAATACAGCGCGGCGGTGCTGATGACCTGTGCTGTGAGATTCGTAGCCAATTCCTCGGTGTTGACACCGGGTCCCAATGACAGCACGCGCTTCAAGAAAGCGTCGTTATGTTCATTGTGACCCGCCCACAGAAGGTCGGCCCTATCGATGACTCCGTCGACCTGTGGCACTGTTAATGCGCAAACGCAGTGGATATGGAAGAGTTCGCAACTCACTATTCTGCCTCGCAACCGGTCAAGGTGAATCTTCACCCGCTTCGAGAACTCGGCGAGAGCCGTGGCTGAAGTCTCTCGTAACTCCCAGTCTGCTTCAGGGTCAAAGTCCAGGAACACGTAGCTACGTGATGCAAGTGTGAGCTTATGCAAACAGCAGCAGGAGAATGTAGCATACTTGGACACGTTCGCGAGCCTCCGATAAAGCTCATGCTCTCTCAGGCTTCCTCTTGGATTAGCATCCGTCTTCAACGGCAATCCCAACTGGAAGACGCATCAGAATGCACATCCGCGTCGGAGAGACAAAGACGTACCACTTCATTCGCTATCCAATGGACAGGGACCAGGTTGATAACGTCCTTTACGATATCCACGTATTTCTTCGTTGAGCCGATGTGGTTAACGGACTTGCTCTCAATGAGGCTGCGGGTCAGCTTCGCGAACGAAGTGCCCCACTGCTCGAGCTGCTCATTGGCGAATAACGCTTCGTCCACGGTCTTTACAGGGAAACGTCAGCGAAGCCACGAACACATTCCGACAAGCGGCCTGACCTCCGTAACCTGCGGATTGATCCATTTCGAGAGCTTGCTCATCCTGGCGTAATATCCCGAAGCGGCCACTCCATTGCCAGGTGTGCCGCCATTCACCCCCGCAATCCCCACCTGGGGTACCGGCGGCCTCGTCCACGAATACTTCTCCACAACATTCCCGGGGAGCTTCTCCACGGCCTTCTTCATCTCGCTGGGGACCATAAACGGGAAGTAGGCGTACGTTGAGTCGCGCGGGTAATACTCGGGCAGGTGCCGGAAGAGCAGCTTCGTGAGCATCCCGCCGTACGAGCCGTCGTTCGGGTTGATCTGGCAGTCCTGGTAGCCCCAGGACGTGAAGTTGAAAGCTGCTCGCCTCATGTCAATACACCAGCAAACGCAAGGGAGAATGCCTGCTGGGCGTACGGGTAAAGTCAACGGTCATGAACCGGTCACCGCGCGTCAGGCAGACCGCATCGCCCAGGATGGCCCTCGAGATGGTGTATCCAGGACATAGGCCGGCGCCTGGCATAGGCTTTTTGGTCTCCTCAGCTTGGAGGCCGACCTATACTCGGGTCAACACCGCCCGCGGATAGAAATAGTATCATGGCTCACGTGCAGCTCCAGGTTGTCAATGTCATGATAGAGAGCCTCCGCGGCACTCTACGACACATCGTCAGTTCGAACGGGAGAGTTTATCATCGATCGGACAGCTTCGTACCGCAATGCTCGGGTCGGGGTTCCACTCCTTAAAGTCCGCGTACGCTGTGCATAAAGGTCATAACCATCAACCCACACCCGTCCAAACACCCTACTCACGTTTCAGCCCCATAAACTTGCGGAACTCGTTCATCTACTCGCTTCATGAGCTGCCGCACGCCTTTTCTCGAAACAACACCAACGCTCACCGTGCACACGCCCCAGCTCCTGGCCTGCTCCATGCCGAGAATCTCGATAATACGGAGCACCTCGGGCGTCCTGCGCGCGCCGAACGCGCTCGCGGGGTGCTCGGTCGCGTTCTGCAGGATCTGCGCAAGCTGCGCGTCGTCGAAGCGGCCATCGCTATTCCGTTGGAGGCTGCCGAACAAACAACCTGTCAATACCATCACCAGTACCAAAATGAACAGGCCAGACGTACTCTCCGATCGGCCACTTTTTCGGGTCGCCCGCGGCGCGCAGCTGGTTGACCGCGACGTTCTTAAAGTCGTCGATCGTGATCTGCATACATATACCCTGATCAGCAACCGAGGTTATAGTAAAATCCGGGACAAACGCACGTCCTGGAAGTTCTTGCCCGGCCAGAACTTCTTGAACGCCTGCTCGGTCCACTGCTCGTCGATCTGGGAGGTGGTCGCGTGCCAGCGGTACATCAAGTTGAACTCGATCGAGACGGCGTTGCCCTCGCCGCGCGGGGAGACCTCGTGGTCCAGCTGGCGGGTGTACTGCACGACAATCCTCCATCAGCACGACGATCAATACCACGACCACCGAGAGAACGCATAGCTCACAGCGAGCGGGTCGAGCCGCCACGCGAGCCCGTCGCGCACGAGGCCGAGGATGGCGCCGACGTAGTCGGCGAGGATGACCTGCATGAAGAAGCCGCTGTTGACGAGGCGCGCGCGCTGGAAGAGCTCGTCGTCCTGCGCCTGCCTCGCGTCCGCATCTTGGGGCGGCGGGTCCACGAGGTTGCCGTTCTCGTTGATACTTTGGATTTTCTGGCAGATATACTAGGTGGGATGCTGGCGCGTGAATAAAGTGCGAGAGAAGGGGGTGCGGGGACGGGACGCACGTTGTGGTTGCGGTTGAAGATGACGAGGAGCGCGCCGACGGCGGGCGGCATGAGCATGAGGCGCGGGTCCGCGAAGGCGTCCTCCCAGATCATGCCCGTCCCGTCCTTCTTGCGCATGCCGTCGACCTGCTGCTCGCTCGCGCCGTACAGCACGCTCAGATCCAAATAACTGTTCGTCGCGTTCTTCGTCCAGTCCCGCGGGTCCGTGTTGAACAAGCAATGTATGATCAAGTCCGCAAAGGCGAAGAAGAGGCTGGAGATGCCGCCCGGGTGGGGCTCGAACTTTTCGCGCTTGAGGAGGGTGTCGAAGACGAGGCCGGGGTCGGGGAGGGCGGCGCGCGGGACGAGGTTCGCGGAGGGGACGGAGCGCGCGTAGGGCATGTTGGCCATGCCGAGGGTCGGCGCGAGCGGGTTGTAGTTGGAGCCGTCGGCGGAGCGGAAGGCGTAGGAGACGCGGGCGTTGGTGGAGGCGACGGAGACGGAGGGCGGGAGGGAGAGGTAGCCGCCGGGCGGGTGCGGGAGGTCTTTGTACACTAGAAGGGCGTCAGTCGGTGAGTGCGCGTGAGATGGGGGGGCCTTACGGAGGTCGATGACGGCTTGTTGAAGCCTTTTCGTGGGCGCAAAGTCGTCGGGGGCGCGGGCCATCAGCGTGAGGACCTTTTCCAGCTACGAAAGGGATTATAGCCTGGCCATGAAGGGTGTATACGTGTCACTCACGAAGAACTTGCGATCATTGATGCCCTCGCCGTTTGCGTTCTTGAGCACGTCGAGGTACGCGGGCTGTCGAGGGCCGAGTGGGTATATGCGCGCGGAATTGCACGGGATCACTCACGATGTCCTGTGCCCTGAATCCGAGGCCGCGGGCGTCGATCTGCACGAGATCGTTGAGGCTGCGCGTGAGCGGGCCCGGGGGAGGATGGCCGCCGTCGAGGTCGACGGGCTCGAGGCTGGCCTGGAGGATCTCGGAGCCGTGCGCGAGCTGCTGCAGGGTCTTGGACTTGGACACGGCCAGCTCGAAGAGGGCCTTGACGATGCGGACATAGAGCACGAAGAGCGCTGCGAGGGCGTCGTAGAGGATGTCTGACAGAGCCATGGCGTTTGTTGCGCGGCTTTGGGGGGCAGCAGTGCTTTTAAGTCTGGCGCGAAACGTCGGGGGAGAGGAGTGGCCGTGCAGGCGTTAAATAACGAGTTTAACGCTATGCAGGATATAGATATATGTAGTGCCCTCATCTTCGATCATGACGGGGCGCTTGACAGAAATACTGCTTCCTGGATCAGCGAGAACGCGTCCCATCGTGTTCGTCGAAAGGAGGTTAGACAGCAGCAGATGAACTTTGCGAGGCGGAAGCATTTCTGGACGAAGCACGAGTTGCCTTTTCGGGCTGAAATATCGTCGGCGCATGCTTGGGTGCGTCCGGAGCCGGTGGACAGTGCATTAATGTCTCGCTGGCAGTCAACTCAAAGTTCTCGTCTTGTAGCACATCTTCACCCCATCTTCTTACTTCTAGCACGGACTCGATTGTCTGGCACCGTCCATTCATGCATTAATCAGGGAAGTCGTCGGTGGGATAGCACCAGCTACAGGCAGGCACTGAAGACATACCACCCAGATCTTCGCGCGCCCCCGCTTGCTCCAGGTCCTGGTACCTCTGCACGTACTCCTCCACGTCCGGCATCCGGCCCGGGGGGTCTCACATCCTTCAACCACATCTTCACGTACAACTCGCTCAGCATTTCCGTCAGGAACACAAACGGGGTATCCCCCGTCCGCGATAGCTACTGCACGGTACATCATCAGCAAGCCTAGGACCATGCGCTCACGCTGCGTCGTACCGCCGTCGCCGCCAAAGTGCGCGACATAACCCCCCTCGCGCACGCTCTTCCGCCGCGCCTGCCGCGACCGTCCTGGTGAGGAACTCGTGTTCGCGGGGTGGGTCGTACGCCTCGGTGGGGACCTGGCTGCCGTGGTCGGGCGTGCCGAGCAGCGAGCGAGTAAAGCTTCATGGCCCGCTGGCGGATGGGCGGTGGTATGGGGGAGCATCATGGAGATAATACCAGCGGGTGCAGGCCGCATATGTTGATTATTGACGCAACAGGGCACTGACCTGTGGTAAATCAGGGAGTGCGATAGGAAAAGGGACTCGATACAGAGCATAGAGTACAACAGAAAGACTGACCGTTCCCTGCGTGCAGATCTGCAGAGCACGATGCATGACCGGGCTTCCCCGAACTATCCTCGCAACCACAGGCCCAGGAGATGATGACTGTCGGACGGGCCTGAGTTTGCTTGAGATCCTACAACTTCTTGTCAGCCAAGGTAATAACGGCATGTCCGTACAATATCCTGGAGTCAGTGTGCAACCCCTATGTTGGCCGACCGGAACGGGGAGTGTAGCGGGAGCCCAGGAGGCAAGCTGCCCAGATGCAGCATAAAGAGCCTGCATGAGAAGGATACCAGTGCACAGGACTCGATCGGAATCAATGGGTATAAGCGTCCGTTGTATCATTACACTCATAAGTATATTACAGCTATATGCAAGAGGCATCACATCACCATCCAGTTCTCCTGCTCTGCCTCCCTTCTATAGTTCAAAACATCCGGCACGAGGACAATCCGTTCACATGATGACGCAGCACGAATTTTGCTAGAGCAGATCATAAGGGCTTGCACGTTAGTAAAGGGAGAGGGGTGGAGGGCGGGTAGCGCACCTTCTTTGCGGTCTTGTAGAACATCTTGCTCTGCGCCGAGAGGGCGTTCGAGCGGTCGACGAGGCTGTCGAGCTTCTCGCCTCGCTGGAGGACGGACTCGATGGTCTTGTGCTGTATCATATGCACACAGACGACCAAGCAAAGACAGACACAGATCAGCAAGCCCGTCCGTGAATCGGCTCCTGCGCACGCACCAAGATGATCTTCGTCTCGTCGAGCTCCTGCTGCACCTTCATGATCGCGTCCGCCTGCCGCGGGTCCTGGTACTTCTGCAGGTACGCGTTGAGCTCGCCGAAGGAGATCGCGGACGTGTTCCCGAACGACGACTGCGGGACCTTGGCCGTGAAGTCGTCCAGCACCTTCGTGAGCAGCGAGAACGCGGGGCGGACGGGGTACTCCTGGTCCGTGATGATCACACCTGCGCCCGCGACATCCAGCTCTGTTCCGAAAGACGGCGCGAGCGATGAGACGCACCCGCGAGCTGCTCCGCCCCGCCGCGGTTATACACATGCGCGACGTAGTTGTTCTCCTGCACGCTCTGCCTCTGTCCCTGCGGCGTGCGCTCCGCGACGGTCTTGCTGAAGAACGTCATGAACTCGCCGACGCTGCCGCGCTGGTAGAACGAGAACGACGACAAGTCAGACGCATGGGCGAGGATGGTGGACGCGCCGGTGTGCGGGACGAGCACGACGGCGAGCGAGTAGATCTTCATGGCGGGTAGACTTGTTGTACTCGTACTTGCAGCGCCATGACATCGTGACACCACCGCGCTGCCGTCACGTATGTTCGAGTCACGCTGCTGCTCGGGACGCGGAGGCTCCTATTCTTGAGGCTGAACGGTGAGCACCAACGTTGCTCGGCTTGCTCTGCTTTGTTTTATACGCCTTACGACTGCCACGACAACCGTACACGACGACCGACTACTGCTTTTCCTGCGACTAACGATTTCTAATCCCCGTTGTTTGATTCCGAACATCAACCTTGAACCAACTGAGACGCGACTCAAACTCGAACCAACTACCAACATCCACCAAGTAACCAGCCATGCCGGCCCCGCGTCTGTCGCAGAGCGCGGAGGCCGCGAGGGCTGCCGCGCTGCAAGCCGAGTTCAACGAGAAGAAGTGGGTCTGGGTCCCCGACGAGAAGGAGGGCTACCTCGCCGGCTGGGTCGTCAGCGAGCAGGACGACATTGGCGAGATCGTCATGGCGTCCGGAGGGGAGGTTGGTTCCTTTCGCACGTTCTATCCCCCTCCCCTCGTCCATTGTAATGAGGATACAGTGAATGAATGAATGATTTTGTAGATACGCCGTGTGCCGCTGTACGCGCTCTCGAAGATGAACCCGCCCAAGTTTGACCGCGTCGATGATATCGCGGACCTGACGTTTCTGAACGAAGCCAGCGTGGTGCATAATCTGAGGCTGAGATACGGGTCCGGGGCGATCTATGTGAGTGCATGTTTGAGCCACCCGTTATATGTTCCCCGCGAAAGGAGGGTGTGCAGAGGTGGCAGGCCGGAGCTGTCTTGTATCCAGGACATCCGGCATTTCTTAAGCGGCCCGGGATGGACGAGCGCAGGCAAGCTTCTGGTATGACGCCCTGCATTGCAAGAGTTCGCTCACTGGGACCAGCTCCCGCACAGCAGGGTGTCATCCCATTGGTGAATTCCTGTCCAACCTAGCACCATGTACTCCACGCAGAAATTTCGCCTATGCTGCAGTCTGCTAGATTCCGGCGTTCGAGATGACCACGCATAACACTGCTCCTCCCACATACCCTTTTGCCGGGAACGCTGCGTTCACGATGAAGCTCCCGGGAGAAGTAAATGTCAATATTAATACTCGGTTTCGCAGACATACTCCGGCCTGTTCTTGGTCGCGATCAATCCCTACCAGAGCCTCCCCCTCTACACCGACGCCATCGTCCACCAGTACCGCGGCAAGCGCAGAGACGAGAATCCCCCGCACATATTCGCCATCGCCGAACGCGCGTGGGTCAACATGGGCGAGGAGCGGGAGAACCAGAGTATCCTCATTACGTGCGTTGTCTATCTACTTCCTCGCTAATTGTCACTTCATTGTGTGCGTGCAGTGGTGAATCCGGCGCAGGTAAGACCGAGAGCACAAAGAAGGTCATCCAATATCTCGCAGCAATCGCGACGGATGCGCACCTCCCTACTCCCTCACATTCCCAATCCCCGTCCATAACAGGATCCAGCTCATTCAACACCGTCATGCCTGCCGTCGGCCTGCCGCGCAGCAGCTCCTTCAAGAACAAGCCTGATGCCAGCGGCTCACGTCTCAACTCCAAGGGCCGCCTTGGGTTACTGGAGCGGCAGATCCTCCAGGCGAACCCCATCCTCGAGGCTTTCGGTAATGCCCAGACACAGCGGAATAACAACTCCAGTCGGTTCGGAAAGTTCATCCGGATAAGCTTCTCGCCCGACGGGAGCATCGCGGGCGCGAATATTGACTGGTACCTCCTCGAGAAAAGCCGGGTCGTCTCCCGAAGCGAGGCGGAGCGCAGCTTCCATGTGTTCTACCAGCTCCTCGAGGCTGGTGGGCCTTTGAAAGACAAGCTCCTGCTAGACGGAGGCGTGGAAGACTACGAATACCTCAATAAGAGCAGGCGAGAGGTCGATGGGGTGAACGATGTGGAAGAATGGAAGCAGCTTCAAGCAGCGTTCGACATCGTCGGATTTTCTCCCCAGGAGCAGTTCGATTTGTTCCGCATCGTGGCCGCGGTACTTCATATCGGCAATATCGCGATCACTTCCACCAGGTCGGACGATGCGGTGCTTCCAGATCCATCGCAAGCGGAGCGCGTATGCCACCTATTGGGCATCCCCGTCGCAGAGTTCACCAAGGCAGTCCTCCGGCCCAAAGTCCTCGCAGGGCGGGAATGGGTGACGCAAGCGCGAACGCGGCAGCAAGCGCTCGACGAGCTCGCCGCGCTCTGCAAGACGCTGTACGAGAAGTCCTTCGGGAGCCTCGTCGACCGCATCAACAAGGCGCTCGACCGGCCGTCGAGCAAGTCGACGTTCATCGGCGTGCTGGACATCGCGGGCTTCGAGATCTTCGACGTGAACGGGTACGAGCAGCTGCTGATCAATTATACGAACGAGAAGCTGCAGCAGTTCTTCAACCACCACATGTTCGTGCTCGAGCAGGAGGAGTATGCGCGCGAGAGCATCGAGTGGGATTATGTCAATTTTGGACTGGACTTGCAGCCGACGATTGATCTCATCGAGGCGAGCGGGGCCACGATTGGCATACTGAGCTGCTTGGACGAGGAGTGTATCATGCCCAAGGCGACGGACGTGACGTTCACGCATAAGCTGCATAGTTTATGGAGCGGCGAGCCGCCGATGGAGGAGGAGGAACCCCATCCTGGCCGGTTCAAGTACGAGCCTGCGCGATTCGAGCAGGGATTCCTCATTCAGCACTATGCGGGCAAGGTCGAGTACCGCACGGACGGGTGGCTTGAGAAGAACAAGGATCCGCTCAATGACAACCTCACTCGAGTTCTCGCCGCTTCGAGCGAGAAGTACGTTGCGGGCTTGTTCTCGGACTATGTCGACCTGTCGGCCTTGCCCACTGGCGGGCAGCATACGCTGACGATGGGCAAGAAGCGGACGCTCAAGAAGGGCGCTTTCCGTACCGTTGCGCAGCGGCACAAGGAGCAGCTCTCGAGTCTTATGATGCAGCTGCACGCCACGCAGCCGCACTTCGTTCGTTGTATCGTCCCAAATAATAACAAGAAGCCCGCTCGCATTGACGTCCCTCTGGTCCTTGATCAATTACGGTGCAACGGTGTCCTCGAGGGTATTCGTATCGCGCGACTCGGTTATCCCAACAGGCTGCCCTTCCTCGAGTTCCGCCAGCGGTACGAGGTACTCACTCCGGGTATCATACCTCCGGGATACATGGACGGGCGCAAGGCGTGCCTACGGATGGTCGATGCGCTCGAGCTCGATAAGTCAATATACAAGATTGGCACGTCGAAGATCTTCTTCAAAGCGGGTGTGCTCGCGGAGCTGGAAGAGCGCAGAGACTCGCTGTTGTACGATATTTTCTCTCGGTTGCAGGCCGTAGCCAGAAAGTGGACAGCGAGACGTCAGATGAAGAAGATCCTAAACAGGGCAGTGGCCATCCGTGTGATACAGCGCAATGCCCGTCTGTACGGTGATCTCAGGGAATGGCCGTGGTGGCAACTATATTCGAAGGTGCAAATCCCTTTGTACATCATTAGTTCTCTAGCTGATAGATTTGCAGGTACGACCTCTCTTAGCGGCAACAAGGAACGATGAAGAGCTGCGGAAGAAAGAACTCGAGCTAACGCTGGCCAAAGAGCGAGCAGAACGCGACAAACAGGAGCGCGAGGCCCTCGAGAACCTCCGCATGTCTCTACAACAAGAGAAGCAGAAAGTCGAGGCCGCACTGGAAGCCGAACGCGCCTTGGCATTGGACAAGGACGCCCTGCTAGAGAGAAGTTTGAAGCGTGAGGCAGAACTGGAGGAGGAAGTGGCCGCGCTGCAGCACGATCTTGACACGCTGGACTCTCAGCTGGACAGAGCCTTGAAGATCCAAAGGGAGAGCGACGAGAAGCACGAGGCATTGAAGCAAGCATTTGACCAGGCTGCCGAACACCTGGTACGCTTGGAAACCGAGCAGAAGGAATGGGCTGCTGCCGAAGCCGAGCTCGTAGAACAACTGAGCGCCGCCAATAGCGAAATAGATACGCTTCGTTCGGAGAGAGACCAGCTTCACAAGGCGGGTGAAGACCTCGAAAGGTCGTTAGCTCAGGGGCAAGAAGACCTGGCCAGGCTTCGGGAGCGTTCTGAGGTTGCCTTAGCCGAGCTGGAAGAAAGGCTGGCTGCGGAGGCACGCAATCGGTTCGTTGCCTTCGTGGTCTGACTTCTTGCCTACTAAGTCGCATTTACACACAGGGATCTAATCCGAGGCAGATCGGAAGAGATGGAGCAAGAGTCGCGACAGACTCGGGAGCAACTAGCTGAACTCACAAGAACGGCTACCGAGTATTCCAATCTCATAGCAAGGAAGGACGAAGAAATTGCGCAGCTGCTTCAGGAGCTTGATGCGGCTCGCCAAGAGCGGTCCCATTCTTCGAAACGCATCGCAGAGTTACAAGGTCGCATAGACACCCTTACGGCAGAGTTAGAGTCGCAGAAGGATGATCAATCGCGGGACACCTTGGCTAGGCAGAAGTTGCAAGACGAGCTCGACGAGCTTCGTTCTGTAATGGAAGCCAAAGTCAGTGAGGAGACACAACGAGTTGAGGCTGAGAAAAGCAAGGAAGAAGAGTTAGGGCGATTGCGCGATCATGTGGCTAAACTCAGAGAAGACTTGACGGACGCACGGAAGATAGCAGTGGAAGGGCAGAATAAACTGCGAGTCGAACTTGATAATTCCCTACGGGAGCATCAAGCCTTGCTCAAGGATCATCAAGCTCTGCTCGACAAATTCCAATCTAACGCTGCCCAGTTGAAGTCGGCTGAAGCGGCCATCGCTGAGATGGAGAAGGCGAAGCGCTCGCTCGAGTCTGAATTACAGTCTCTGCGGTCTCGGCAAATAGAGGCTGATGGTCAGCTCGCGGAAGCTCAGAAGGCCAGAGAGGTGCATACTCTCCATGTTTCGTAGGCTGTCCCGTGACTAATATTTCCTAATTCATAGAGCCTCGAACGCCAATTGGCTGCTGCTCAATCCAGACACCAAGACTTTGAGGATGTTGTACTCCAGATGGAGCGAGACAAGAGTTCCCAAGACAGACAGCTGGAAAGCACCCGCAAACAATTCGAAACTGAGTCTGCCAAGCGAGCCCAGCTTGAGAAATCAATCTCTAGTCAGAAAGCGGAGATAGCTCAGTTGAAGGATCGAAACATCAAGCTCGACAGAGAACTTAATAAAGCATTGACGAACCTGAAGGCGCGGGAATGGGAAGTCAAGCAACTAGAGTCAAAGCAAGATAAGACCATTGTCGAGCATGTTCATGTTTTGGAAGAAGCTAAACGCGTCACGGATCGCCAACTGGCCGAGGCGCAGGCCGAGCTCCAGAAGAACTATGCATACATTCGCTCCCTGGAGAAGACTCGGACGAGGTTGGCTGGTGAGGCGGAAGATCTGGCTCGGGCGACTGAGTTAGAACGCGTCGAATTAAAGTCCAAAGAAAGGGCAATGAAATTGCAGGAAGAGCGGGCTACCCGGGCTCTTGCTGAAGCTGACAAGGAACGACGTGCCAGGGAGGCTGCGGAGTTGCAAGTCCGGAGACTCCAGGCTCAGCTCAACGACTCTGAACATCGCGCAGAAGAGCTGTCGCATCAATTGGTGACAGTGCAGAGATCGAAGGACACCTTGGAATCTGAACTAGAAAGACTTGCGGACGAAACTGTAACTCCCAATTCCATGGCCAAGATGCAACGTCAATATGAGTCTCAAATCGCCGAATTAGAGAAGAGACTCGAAGAAGCTGAGACCCTCGATTCAGGGAGCGCTAGGATCAAGGACTATATCGACCGTCATCATGCTGATATACGGCGACTCATCACGGAGAGCGACCCGAAGGATGAGAACTTCCGGGCAAGGCTACTAGGAGAATTGCAATCACTGGATGATGAGCTGTACAGGGAAGTTTTCGATCGCTCTGCGCGTCTTCGGGGGCAAGACACTGGTATCCGGACGTTCTCCAACGCTAGCCCTGCTAAACGGATGAAAAATGGCTCAACAGGTGGATCCACCTATGACGGTCCCCGAGCGCCCGATAGACAGATCAATGCTCTCAGACAGCATGTTCAGGTCCTAGAACTCCGAATAGCCGTCTCCGATCGCGTCAGACAGCACCTAGAATCCTCATTGCGTGAGCTGACTGACGAACTGGAGAACACCGATGGCTCAGTTGAATCGCTCCAGCAATATAGAGCCCGTCTGGCAAAGGAGAACGCCCGGCTAGTTGAACTACTTCGAGAGGAGGCTGAGGCTCGTCAGTCTGCGGAGACCGCGCAGATTGACAATATCCAAGCACTTTGGACTAAGTTCCAGACGACGATATCTGAGGAACGAGATAGCTATGACCGTCTTGAGGAGTCTCGGAAGGCCCTCGTGCGTATGCGCATGCAGTTGTGCACAATCAGCGTTGGACTAACTTGTCCCTCTTTAGATGGTTCAACAGAGGGCCCTTCAGGTCGAGTTGGAGGAACAACGTCGGCAGGTCACGGAGCTTTCCCAGTCGAAGAAACAACTACAAACTGAAATCGCTAACTTGAATGACCGGGTGGCCGAAGCCTTGAGATCCAAGAATGAGGAGTCCAGTATGTAGTGAGCAGGATCACAGATACCACATATCACTCACTTGCGCTTTGTGTAGACGCCCGTCGCCAAATGCAGACTCGGCTTAAAGAGCTTGAGATGACTACAGAAGCTTCCGACCGCCTCATTGCTGGTATGTAGATTCGCTCTTTCTTCTGAGTAGCCGTCACATTCTCGTTACAGAATTGAAGGAAGCGCTAGAGACATACAAGGCCAAAGCGGACACCCACCTGGCCAGGCTCGACGAAGCAGAAATTGCAAGAGCCAAGGCATCACAAGCAGAATCCTTTGGTATGGGCCCCGGATGTTCTACCTGTGGAAAAGAGAGCTCACCTTTTAGTAGCTCGCCGATCCCTCGCTGAACTAGAGAAATCATACTCTGATGCGATAGCAGAACGGAAGGCTGTTGAAGGGCGGCTGCAGTCCGCTGAAGAGAGAGTCAGGGAGCTCGAGGCCCGCTTAGAAGATGAGGGTCGAGAATCATATGATCTCGACCTCCTTCGACAACGCCTGGCAGAGGAAATGGAAGAAGAGCGCAAGCAGTATCAGAAAGACCTAGCTGATAGAGACTTTGCCACAGACCAAACTCGTAAGAAGTACCAGGGTGAGTCATCATATTCTTCCCGCAAGACGCGGACATTGAGCCGCTGTATATAGCGGAATTGGCTCAGTTGAGCGAAGGTGCGTAGACCTCCCCTCTCACTAAAGCTTCGTCTGACATTTACGCGACCTTCTCCTCAGAGTTGCAATCCCAGCGTGATAGTATGAGCCGCTTGCGTGAAGAGAACAGACGGCTTCGCTCTGACTATGATGACCTTCAGCTGAGGTACGATGATGAGGTGTACAGCGGAGGTGCTTGGAAAAAGGAGAAAGAACGCCTGGAGACCAAGATTGGGGATTTGACGAAGGCATATGAGGTTGCTACAGCGGCTCAGACGGAGCAACAATCTCAGATCGTCAATCTTCATTCCCAAGTTCGCGAGCTTCGGGGTGTCCTGAACGACGCTGAGGCGGACAGGGTTCTACTGCAGAAGGCGCGACGAGCTCTACAAGCTGAACTTGATGCGATCAAGTTGGACAGCATGGACGCCAGTAAACTCTCTTCTGACACCGAGCTACAACGGCTACAACTCGAGAAACAGGACTTGGAGCGTTCTCTCGAGGAACAGGAAGATCGGGTGACAATGGCATTCGAGCGTATGAAGAAAGCCGAGGCACACGCAAATGAATGTCAAATGGAGCTCGGTAAAGTCCGCGTAGAGAACTCAGAGCTGGACAAACTCAATGTATGTCCCCTTTGGGCGTGACTACAACTCTGCTGATTGAATTCCATAGGCTACCCTCGAGAAGCAAATCAAAGAGTTGAATGTCCGGATCGTTGACTTGGAGACGAAGTCCATGGCGAATTCTCCTAGGCCGCCGACCACATCGCGTCGTCTCGAAAGTCGTATAGAGGAATTGACAAGCCAACTCAGTCAATCTTCTAAGGACAAGACGGAGACAATCCGGGCACAGCGGACGGCCGATAAGACCATGAGAGATGCCAGATATCAGGTGCAAGAGCTGGAAAGGCAGCGTGCCCGGCTTGAAGAGGAGAATCAATCATACGAGGCGAAGCTGACGAGTCTGCGGCAGGTAATGGACGAGCTGGTACGTATCTGCGTTCATCTTATATGTCAGTAAGATTAACCGTCCCTCCTTCAGCAAACATCGGAAAGCAACCTGCAGCTCGCTAAGAGGCGGGCAGAAAGGGATGCCGCTGATTACAAACAGAAAACCCTGAGGTGCGGATTGACTTTGGGATGTGAAATCGAAGCCCACGCTTATATTAGCCTTTCTAGTCTCGAGCGGGAGGTGGAACGTCTGAGAAACCGGTTAGATCGACCATCTGCCATGCTGGATCGTGGCTCTCCCATGAGTTCACCGCGGCGGTAACGCTTTCCTTCACTTTCCTTCATACGACTTTCTCTTTCCCGTGCCCTTACCTTGTACATATCGTTCATTCGGACTTGTCTTTGCTATTCCCTCCGCACATGTCATGATACCTAGTGTACCCCTCACAGCTATGTATTTTATGCCTGCTGTATTTTATTCCTAATGTCTTGCAATACGTTCCCTTACTTCCCTGGATACCCCTGCTATGACGCCCCATTTTGCTTAGTGTGCATTATGGTCAGCGACAGTTCCATTGACACAAAAGTTCCTTTCCAAGAAGATGGAGTGGACACACTACGGAGAGGTTTATACACTACTGAACTCGCTGAATACGATGCTGTTTACGGCTCATCGCAGATGCAGCACGCAGCGGATGTCCCGTGAGCGCTGTCCCAGGACGCCTGAATGGCGGACAGCTGTCGAGCAATGCTGGTTTCACGGGCTGCAGACCGATACTACCTTCTACACCAATGGACGCCGCTTAGCATATACGGTAGCCTTCCGATATCGAGTGTCCGTAGGCTGGCCTCTCCTTCGTCCTTTGTACATTTTCTAGTTGCTTTACGTCCAAGCTCTCACTTTAACCTGAAGATCAGTATATCAGAATAATTGAAGCATGCATGGTTGGTTCTCGCAAATTCTGCTGCTGTCTGCCAGTGCGCTTCGGTCCTGTGCATGTCCGTGTTCTGACTCATGGCCGGAAGTGTACTGGGAGGCGTCGGTGTTCACGAACTGACGCATCCGAGTGAGTGCCCATAATATATGATTACTCAGTGTGAACGGGTGGCTGAGACTGCGTAGAGCAACACTCGGGACAAACTTGCCTTGGTCTTCCCGACGATACTATATATCGTCCTCGCGGTAGGGTCTATCTTTGAGTCAGTCCATGAACCAAACCGGTCAAGGACTGCGACTTACAGAATCATCTCGCGGCATATAGGTCCTTCGGCGCAATCGCAAGAAACCGCTCTTTTGTGTCGGCGTATGGCACCCTGTTCTATAGCCATCTTGGTTTCTCGATCTTGTCCGGGGTGTTCACCCTCTATAACCTGTTCCACGGACAAGCCAATACCATCTTGCAGAATTGCATAGCCGACAGTAAAACTCGACAAAGAACGCTGATCCCCACTTGGCCGGAAGTGCCTGCAAGAAGACCCTAGAAATGGCCCGGGTACTCATAGTCATCGGCGCGTTGATCCTTTGGCTAATTGAGCTCTGTACTAATAGGCACAGTTACGAGTCTGGTGGACTTCTTCAGATGGCTGTATCGATGGTGTATCGAACTACCTGGACGACGAGGAAGTCGCAGAGTGGGTGCACGGCAAGATGAGATCGGAAGTTGTGTCTCCCCCCCACGCTTCCGACGACGTACAATATAATGCGAGGCTGTACCCTTGCTCTCAGCCGCAGAACTCGTACGGACGAGACGCGTATAGCCGGGTGTAAGAGGGGTATAATGGTCCTATTTTTTAAAGCTTGGACCCCGCCGTAGGTTTCTGTATGTACATTCAGTGACGGTCATGACCTCTGCGCACCTCTGCAACAGTGAACAGGTCCAGGACCACTGATGCATATGATCCCCAGATAGCGAGTCGGAATTTGCCTTTCAAACTGGGAGTTTAACGATTGAGAAACAGGTCAATCTTACGACCCGACACTTATTCCATTCCGGACATAGATACCATCGATTGGGAACGTCACAGCAAGCAATAAGAACTCTACATTCCAAGATTGGGGCAACGGACAGCAGGCGTCTTTGAAAACGATGGTGGTGGATTGTGGCAAGATTGTGGCATTGCGGCGATTGCCGAAGAACTGTACAGCAGCATCTCGTGCTTCATCCACAACCATATACGGACATCACCTCCAAATCCCAGTCCCAAGGCCTCCCTCAAGACAAAATGGCGAGTACTACGACTCTTGCAATGCGGAATGCAGCTGCTAACTATGCGTTGTCGGTGCTGTAGCCCAAGGAAATCCGTGACATCAAGCAGTTCATTGAGATCGCGCGCCGAAAGGACGCGGTTGGTGAGTCACACTACATCGCGTTCACCTCTTAGGTCTTATGTTTAAATCGGTTTCCCAGCTGCACGGATAAAGAAGATTGCCCCCCGCACACCGGGGGCCAAGCCGCAGACCAAGTTCAAGGTCCGGTGCTCAAGATATCTCTACACGCTCTCCTTGGACGACCCGGACAAGGCCGACAAGCTCAGACAGAGCTTACCGCCAAGTGGGTTGCCATTCCAATGGCATCTTGAAGCGCTGTGTACTGACACGTTACCCTTCCTAGCACTCGAGGTGGTTGACGTCCAAAAGAAGCCCAAGAAGAAGTAAACAGTTCGGCGGCGGGACTGGGTTATGTACTCTTGAGGGTCACTCGGGCAGGTGATTGTATGTTATGCTCTAGGCGTCTAAGCTCTTTGCTTTCTATGCAAGCTTTTCAAAGCTTTCTTGCTTGGCCTGAGCGATATGTCTGAGGCGCCGGCGAATGCAGCAAGACGCTGGTCGAGAGTTTGGGAGGGGCGTGTATGATGGTGCAGTGATCGTCATCTTTGAACCATCCATTCCACTATCCCCAGCGTGACGTACAGACCCGACAACCCCATCACATACACCCGAACTGCCCTCGCTATGCGAATTTTCCACCGGGACTTAGTAGTCCGATACCCCTGGTCTCTCCGCAGAACACGTGCTGATGTTCCCCCTTCCATGGCCTCCAATTCGATATCTCGCCCACTTGAATGGTATGCGTGCCTTGTGACGGACCAAGCGTCTCCGTAGTCAAGGAGGGCGTCTACGAGTTGCGCTCCGTCAAGGTAAGGCAGGGGCAATAGATTGAAGAAATATAGCGACAAAGCTACGGTCGCGAGATATCTGAGGTACACGTCAGGCTTGTCTGCTCTCATCCTGTTAACGATATGCACACACTCGATGCATACCCCGACCAATCCGGGCACACCGACAGGCAGGTAGAACCGGCCAGGCATCAGAGTTCCGACACGCACTACCGGCACGGTGAGTGACGGGATCTCAGGATACCGCGGCTGGCATCACGCACCCTGCTCGAGTACTTCAACGCGAGGGCCCCGCCACAGGAGCATTTGAGTGGCGTCCTTTTCCCCGCTTTTGAAAGGCTCGGGTATAAAGGTGAGCCGCAGTAAAGTCTCGTCCTTGTCGGGCGTGATGCAGGTCGCATGTGAGTCGCAATCGGAGGACACAGCACAGCGGCGCTGGGATGCAGGTTCTTGGACCATGATAGATAGTGGATCGAGACACCTGCCTACTGTCGAGCCATCTGACGGCCGAAAGCAGGCCAATTGGGAGGCCGCTTTTGATGCATCTGCGCTTCCCTCGCAGCAAGCAGTAGGCCGCGCTAAAGCAGCATAATTAAGAACTGGGGATAGTAAAACCAGGACTTTGCTCACCTAGATACCAGTCCTCGCTGATGCACCAGCCGGTTGAGCGGTGCTCCACAGTCCCCGCGAGGTAGGCTGTCCATACGTCAACTGAATTCGACGATCCCAGGGACACATCGTCTAGTTTGGTGATCAGAGCGCCTGGTGCAATATATTCACCAAGGTCAGATCCCTAATGCCCAGACATACTTTATGCATCCCATTCAGACTATACGAGGGAGCCTCATAATCACTCACATCTTCCACACCAGTTACGCCTACCGCATAGGTCGACACGTCTCTGTACCCTACCAGGGTCCAAAGAGTTCTTCCCAATCCAGACGATACTAGCATGGTGAGCAGAAACCACGTGAGCAGGTTGTGGAAGGCCCCTGCGGCGATTATTCTTAGGCGCGGGCGAGGAGACAGCAATTCCATATTCGAGGACGACAATTTGACAAATGCGGAGGGTAGCACGACGTAGAGCGATGCGCCGACGGACAGAACGTCTACTGTCTCACTAACTCGTGCCCATCACCGTTAGTATATAAACATCCAGATGGGGGAGGTGTGCCGAGCACTATCCTACTTGGTCGCCTATAAGAGACTCACATAGTAGCTGCGATGGCATGTCCGGCTTCGTGAACTATCTGATTCCAGAACAGGGCCACAAGGAGAATGGAGAGGTGGCTGAGGGGCACGGTGACGCCAGGGATCTGTGTTCGAGATAGGCAGCAGGAGCAGTCATCAGAACCTAGCTGGATTGACCGAGTGAAGACGCGGTCAAACAGCATGAAAGTGATGGGACAAGCCACGTCTCGTATAAACGCACCTTATCACATCACTTCCACGGATAGGCCTGTTGGGCACACTCACAATGGGGTTTATCACACGGCTATACGAGCTCGCCTGAGGAGTCGTCCCTTCAGCGAATGCAGAGTCCGACGAAGATCGCTTAGTCAAGTTGTTAAACGTTGGACTCGTTCCGTTCGCAGGAGCGAGTACAGAGAAGAGCGTCTCGCCGGTGGCATAGGTGAGTGCAGCCAAAGCCAGGGCGAGGCCAAAAACTCCCAGAACAGCGCCGACGTCGTAAACCCTCTTGACCAACCGTCTAACATTTACATTTTTCCGATCGGAAAGGTATGTCGCGAGTGTCTCTAGCCTCGCATTGAGCCCAGTGCTTTCGATTCTCAAGTAGACAGGCTGCAGGAATAAGGAAAAGGCCGTCGTAGACACGCGAGATGGACGGTCGCTGGAAGTGGGAAGCGGAAGGACGTCTCTTCTGCGACTCCGAAAGATTTTATGTAGTCCATGAATCGCCAGCCAAAGCAGAGCTACGATTGCAACCAGGTTGAGGAACATGAGACGACTCGGACTGCAGCCGGGCCGCGTCCGTGGCACCGATGTGGCACCTGCATTGCTGCGGACAATTCAGAGATAACTAATAATTAAATGGTAACCTTGACTATCCTGCTGCACCTGACATGCATACGAGAAGGAACACTTTGTGCAATATCAGCAGGAGAGGCGAAACACATGAAAGGTGGTATGCAATAGGTGTCATGTTACCCCTCATACATCTACTAATACTGCGGTATATATCATTGATTCAGAGGTATATTGTACATCAGATCATTTGCTGGTGAAGCAATACATCGTTCTCGAAGCTAACTACAGGGAGAGTTGAGTGTTCCCAAGTAATACATGTAATGAGTCGGGCTTTGATAGAAATCGTACGAAATAATTTCACCCATTTCATGATCAGGCAAGAGCGAACTCTACGAGGCCGGTCTCCCCAGAGTTGTGGAACTTGACGAACTTCAGGCCCACTTGTTCTCTGCCAATTAACGAGAACGTCAGAGATAGTTTCCAGCAGGATGAAAATCATCCTACCCAAGTTCAATAAACATTTCTGGCGACCGTTCCTTCGCATTCATCAACGCCATCATGTTTATGTCCTGGGTATAGACCTTAAACCTGCCAGCTCCGAAGTTAGGAAGCAGTGGTTCGGGAGCCTGAATACGTGGTTAATGATATGTCTCATGTGAGAAGGTCTGGTATCACCTTATCTAGTGTATAGGCCTGAGTCCGAGTGGGGGACACGTTTTGATAAATGTATTCATCTACAGAAGGCCCACGTTTAGTAAAAGGCAGCTTATGGAAAGTACCGACGTACGTATTAATACTCTGCTGGATGGTTTCATAGCCTTCCGAATATTGGCAAGGATCTTTACGCATTCTGCGTCTGGCCAGTCATGTCTAAACCCAACCGAATTTAGATCACGAGTGACACTGGATAAATGGCTGACGCACAGTACATGTCGGGCCTTCATCAAGCAGTGGTTAGAAAAACAACTAGCGCGAAAATGCCACTACGCTCACGTAGTATATGTCGCAGTCACGCACTGGCGTGTCCCGGAAGAAATCAATGGGCACAAATGCCACTCTGTCTTTCTCCAGAGCACCAGGGCATTCACGACTCCACAGCTGCTTTTGGGTAAGGAACATCCTCATAAATGATTTCGAAATAAGGTACTTACCGCCTTCCCGGTGGACACCACATGCTCTTGATCTTGAATGATAGCTTTAACGTGCGGGAAGGACTTCAATACTATTAACGAAGCATGACCGTTGCCTCCGCCGACGTCGCATAGGACTGTATCTTCAGGCAAAGTCTCCCAAGGATACGCTATCGGACTCCGTTAACTACCGAGCAGGATGTATATTGAGTCATATATACCTTTCGCCAGAAGGCCTCTACCATTAAATTCTCCTAAACCGATCATCCCCTGGTTGAATCGCTGTGATGCCATTCAGCTATGGTGCCTCTCCAGAACCAATAGCGATTCTCACCTCATGGACAGATTTCCCCCGAGGCTAAATCACATCATATAGCGTCATGGGTGTAGTATATAGGTGGCAAAGTCTACTCACATCTTCGTTATACCAGTTAAAGATTGACAGACCCATCGCTTTCTTGAATGCAGTGTTCTCTACCTCGTACGAGGTACCCCATTCCGGATCTGAGAGGGCCGTCCATAAGTGAGATCCACCCTTCATACACTCGTCGGTTCTTCGACAAAGTCAGATACTGCGGTAAGCGGGGTATCAATATGCGGCCTACATATGACCGATGAAGTTTCCGATGGGATCATTCGAGAGCAACTTCATGCTCAGACGATTATTAGCAAAGACATCGGGCTCGACTGGGAAAGGATCAAAGACTGTGCGCCCAGTAGTATGGCAGGCTAACGTACCCTCACGATAGCAGTGCTGCGTTGCGAGGAGTCGCAAGACTCTTCCGAGCTTTCCGACTTCGACACCGGAGGCCTTCGACAGCTCTGAGACGTGCATACCATTCGGCTTATCCAGCAGGATGTCAGATATCCTTGCGCTGAAAGCAACCTCTAGGCAAGAGCACTCATAGAACTGTGACAGCTATCAGTCTCGGCGAATTCTCTATGGCACGGGCTGCTTACACAGTAAGCTTTCTAGAGTTTCGAGTTATCACCGTTGCAATGAGCCTACAGGCACAACAATATGGACGCACATTAGTCAAGTAATGTGACGGCCTGGCGACCGTAGCGCAAAGCTGGGCGCAGGCTCCCTCTACTATCTGTACCGCTCTATTGAGGCGAAGGTTGTATTGCTCCGTGTTATCGAAAGGTCCCAAGCGAGTCTCGTCGAGGGTGGGTACCGTGCTGCCGATCTTTGAATACTCAGTGACGATGTCCTTGAGTGCAGAGGAAATCACGTCAACGAGAGCATTGAGCGGCGCGGCGTCTAGGGGGGTTGATGCGGAAGACATGATAACTTAGTTGCTCGAGTGGGGGGTGGGGCTAGGGAGTGATTGTAGATGCCAATGGGCTATATATCCGCAAGCTGCCCAATGACTCTGAGATTGGGGATGCGGTACGTATCTTTCACCTTTAATTAGACGAGCTTGATCACAGGACCACGGACGAAGAGGTAACTTGGTGACACGAGTGACCAACGTATCGCTCTACATCCGATGACTCATTGAATGACCCGATACAGCGCACCGTTCCACAAAGAGCGTCAGCGGATGATCGCCTACATGGGAGTACGAGTCCTCGATCCCTGGGAGCAGATCATGCCTCTTTCAGGCTGAAGTTCCGGCTGCACATCGAGCAACGTGCAGGGTCCCGAACGTTGCCCAGGTCGTCCTACATGAACGTATCACAGACCGAAGTTCTCGCTGCTCTGGCGCTTGTCAGATAGGCAAGTTTCCGGCCGGGGGGGGGGGGGGATAGAGAAAGGTACTCGACCCATCTCTGGCAATTGGTGACAGGTTGATTGATCAGTACCTCGGCGAAGGATTGCCTTTTCGTTCTGAGAAGGTAAGCCACCATATTCCGAATCGGGAGCTGACTACTGGCGCCCCTTGCGTAGACTTGGGAAGAAAGTCGTGATGGAGAAGATGATCGGAGTCGGTGGCAGTGAGCCATTACAGCAACTTGCATTGGCTACCATTGAATGTCATCCGCTTCGTAAGAACGTGAACAATAGCCTTCTCCCGAAGTCACCTGTACGCACTGGCAATAAGTTAGATCCCGACAGACAGACATGGTCACGGATCCGAGTCTTCTACCGCGGCACACTCCCTACAAACTACCAAATGCAAAGGCCTGCAAGCGACCGAAGCAGGCTGGCCTATTGAATTGATACGAATGACGCAACTACGATGGCCATAGTAAGATCAATCAGGTCACACTGCTTTCGCAGTATGTCGTTCCCAGTATGTACTAACCCATTCCGGGGCATCCATGGTAGCGGTGCTTGTCCCGGAATACGATAAGCAGTGGTTCCGCCGTCCATCAGCAAACACACATACAAGTCCAATGGTGGATCATGTGCATCTACGGGCTCACATTCGTCAGCATACTATGCGGCGATCATACACAACTACGATTGGTTACCATTATACGCTGTGCTAGCTGCACTGAATACTGGTATTTACGACGACAGGCATCTCTGTGATGGGTGCGTCGAAAGAGCGAGCAACGTACCTAGGTGACTTCTGTCACAGCTCGGAGAGCTTCCCAGGCAGATCTCATAAGTCACCTAACATTGAAACCCGGAGAAGCTAAGGATCGGAAAGGGACCAGACAAGAACGTAAGACAACCCAACAGTCTCACAATGCGAGCCTTGTCTAGGATAAGACGCTTATATCACGCTGGCACAAAGGAGGACAGCACCGTGTAGCGTCCCGGCAAGTGGTCACCAGGCAGGCTCCGTGAGCTTGACGGGCCGCTAGGCTTCACAGCACCAATGAATGCACTCCAACTGTCTTCGCCTTCATTTTGACTAGCGGGTGCACGAAAGGGCGGGTCACTAAGCTGCTGTGAGAAGAACAGGGATATTGTTAGGAGAGACGACGCACGGATGCGGCCAGTTCCGAAGTCAAGGATTCGGACCCATATCAGCGATTACTCTGGGTTGGGAGCATCCTTGGTTGTTGGAGGAGCTGTTACCAATAGCAGAAGGCCTTCGCTTACTACGACACATTGAGTAGGCGTCTCGGATGACCGGAAGTAGAGTGCGGCCTCAACTCATTTTCCGATCTGAGCTGCCGACATACCATATGTTGTCATCTGCATGAAGAGGATAGAATTAGTGCAAGCCCCTGCCCTGCCTCGGAGAATAGCACTACTGGTAACCCGGGAATTACCCGACGGTTCGAACCATCACATTCATCGCGTTTTCTTCGCGGTGCCTAATCTCTTGCAAACAGCAGTCCTGAGTATAGATAATAGATATTGGGCCTTACAACGGCCTGTCGCGAGATAGTTGTCCCTTTAAAGATGTTCATAACAGACCAGCCGAGAACTCGAAAAAGCAGATGTTCGAGACATTCTTCTCGCCTGAATGTCAAATTGTTAGCAATGAGGTCCAGGCCGTCACAGCGCCGTTACTCACCTATACCCCCGTCACTGTCTTCTTCGTATGCGTCATCACTGGTATGAAGGCTGCTCATAGCCTCAACAGCGCTGGCTTGATGTAGAAACCATATCCCGGTCGCTGTCACGGCTATCCGACTACTACGTAAAGGCTGGAAGATCTGAAACTGATGGAGATGGGCTGCATGTGGAATCCACTCATCCTCCAAATTGCTGCTGGCTGTTTGCTGTCGTGCAGGCGCCATATGGATACCACCTTCGATCTGATGTAAGTCCAGTTAACGAAATGCATGATCAAGGCATACGATAATGCAAAGGACTAACGGTCGTGATGAGAATGCACTCTGACGTCCATGAGACGTCAGCTACGGTGTCCATCATTTCAAGAATCCTTAGAGAGCTATGTGGCACTTTCCCTCCGATCCATCTTGAGAATTCCCGGATGAAGAGCAATTTGTTATCGGAACGCGCTACTGCATGATGTCCATCAGGAGAGAGACAAACTACCCAATGCCATTAGATATGTCTGAGGACTGAATGAGTGTTCACCTGCCTAGTCGAGGAGGGGTATTGAATGAAAACCACAGCCCCCGCGTCCTCCTATACTCCAGGTTGAGTTTATGCACGATCTTCCCTCCTTCAAGCAGTACAGTCAAGGAGGTACCTATTCCAGGTGGACATTCCGCAGCATCCTTGACCAGCATCCCTGCATATTGTCCACGCTGCTCGAACGCTCTTGCGAGGATAACCTGGCTTAGTAAATTGGTACGACGGGTTGACGTCGTCATTACAGGATAGTCAAGGCATGCCCATGAGGTCCCTGATGACATTAGGTCAGGGAGTGGTATAATGCTGATGTCCCGCGTAGTCGAGATGCCCAGGTGCCCATGGCTGAAGGTCAGACCTACGACCTGATCTGCGAAGAAGATACCACCCAAGGTCCTGCCATTCCGGACATCGAATACCGAAACATGGTCATAGGATGCCGCCGCAAGCAGCGGGTATGACAAGCAATAGGATGAGATATGGTGGTGCCTCGGCATCTCTAATAAAGCATGAGCACAAAAGTGGCCCCTGACTCGCCAGTCTCCCAGTATATGGGCGAACCGGGCAGACGGTGGTTTTTCCGAGTAGACAGCCAGCGCACTTGCAGATATAGAATTGTCGAGTTGCTCATGAGAAGGAGCAGCGGATGGGTCCAGAACAGGAGTCTTCACCGCGTCATCTCCACTAAACGTGCTCTGAGAGTCCCCGGACCGCCGCCAAACCTCAATACAACGCGGGTTCGAAGACAGGAAGGTGAGGAACCCATCCGAGAACTGACAGTCGCCATAGCCCGCAGCGTTAGTCTGACGCGGTTAGAATTAGCAAGACAGTCACCATTGTAAGAACAGGGATGCATACTCCAGGAAGGCGCCATAATACGCGGTCTGTCTCGATGGCGGTGACGGTTATACCCCCGTGACGATCACAGCTTATCACCGTCCTATGCTTCTCGTCCACTACGAACGAGCTGACGAAGTCCCCAGGGCCATTCAACGCACCGACACAGATCTTGCCCTTCCCAGCCGGATGCGGCTGGTACAACTTGTCTCTCCCGTTCCACCTACTCTGGACAAGCAACTTCCGACGACCTCTTCCATTGTCAGGCATGACCGGCAAGCGAGAGAATATAGGAAACATACAGAACTCTTTCCATCCCGTGACATAATCCATCCATGCACCGATACTGGCCGGCTCGAGTAGTGCACTGTCCAGGGTGGCATCGAGAGATACAAGTCCACAGTCAATGGCTACTTGGCGGTAAACAGAGTCCTCATTGCTAGTTATTAGTGCGTAGACCTCATGGGAGCAGATGACTAAGTTGCTGATGTCCGTGACATAGAGATGAGAAAGAACGCGAAGGAAGAGCTCTGGCGGGAGAGTGCAGAGCATGATGGAATGCTGCCACCTTTTGACGAGGACTTCAAAATTGAAGGTTCAAGCCGGCCCACTACACACAGGCAGCTGGCGCTGCGTCAGAAAAAGAGTTGCCTGTACGAGTGAAGTAGTGCTATAGAGGGCTTCGCTGAACAGGACGGCATGAATATGTTGAGTAAACCGACTTGAGACGAGTCATCGTTTGACTCGGTTTGTGGCTATTGTTAGCCACAGAACTTGCAGATACCGTGACCTGGACTGGGGCAAGGTAGATGGCTCTCGTACGCACTCACTGCGTTTGCTGCTCTTTATCTAACCCACGGATAGGCATATAGATAAGTAAGCTGCATGAATCTATCCAGTATGCAAGACTGCTGGAGTAGCTCGATGTCAGATAGCTCATGGAATGTACACTTATCCCTTCCTAGCCAGAAATTGGACTGCCAGCCTAGCCAGAAATTGAATAGACATATGAGTTTGCCTATCTGTATCTATCCCATGGAAAGCTAGGTTACATGTCCGATGCTGGAATGGTCAATCGTATCGACAATCTTGCGCTGCATAGAATATCCCCCGGGCCGACACTCACTCCATATAAGGCGCAAGCCAGCAATTACATAATGTCCCAATATATACAGGTAGTAGCTAAACATGGTATTCCCGCTACCGACGCCTGTCCGGCGACCGTCGCGTCGATTGTACCTACAACCGCCAAAGATTGTGCGCAGTATATCGACCTTGGTCCATATTTATAGCTCTGATGCTA